TCTTTCCCTGGGTGGGTGGGGAAGCGCTGGGCTGGGATCCCTAGGGAGGGGTGGAGTCTCCATCCCTAGGGGTGTTTAAGTCCTGGAGGGACCAAGCCCTGGCTGGGCTGATTGAGTCGGGGCTGGTCCTGCTTTGGGCAGGGGCTGGATTTGATGCCTCCTGATGTCTCTTCCAACCCTAAACTTCTAGGATTCTTCCATGATCCAGTGACCCAGCTCCGGAGCCTTGTGTATTTCATTGTGCAGCAGGAACACACTGCTCGAGAAAAAGCTGTTAAAACACCAGCACGTCTGCCTGGCTCGTGTCCTACGGTCCCCCGGTGTTAGATCCAGGAGATCCGGCTTCTCCAGCCAGTGTGGCCGCAAGTTCTCCCTGGGCCAGTCCCAGGAAGAAGGTGTCTGTCGGCGGGAGGGAGACCAGGACTGGAGCTGACGCTGGTAACCCAGGCGTTGGTTGTTAACTCCCGTCCCACCCGTCAACTTTTCTACAAATACTTGGGAGATTGCAAGAAAGACCTTTATTCAGCTCGGAAATGCAAGCTCAGGGTGTTCCCCTGTGCAGGACGTCTCTGCTCCGGAATGGATCAGGGCTGTGCGGCGAGAGAGGCTGCTGTTTCTTGGGCCCAGCCTTCGTTGATTGGAAGCGGTGGGGTGTGACGGGCCGGGCTGGGTCTGGGCACCACTGAGGGTGTCCAAATTGCTCAGACTCAGGGCTCCCTACAGCCCCAGACTGGAGTCCTTCCCAAACCAGTCCCACCGAGCGCCCCACCTGCCAATCCGGCCAGCAGGAAGCCTCAGGAGCAAAACCCCTCAGACACCCCAGCTCTCCCTGTGCCACACTCAGCCCCAGGCCTAACACAGGTGAGGGGTTATAGAACCCAACCTCACCCACCCCCAACAGGTCTTTCTAGTCCCAAAGAACCAGCCACCAGTTACACCCTGGCTACGTCTACACTGGCACGATTTTCTGGAAATGCTTTTAACAGAAAAGGTTTCCGTTAAAAGCATTTTCGGAAAATCGCGTCTAGATTGGCAGGACGCTTTTCCGATCGCCATTTTCGCCATCGGGGCTTTTTTGCGGAAGACAAATCTCTGCTGTCTACACTGGCCCTTTTGCGCAAAAGTTTTTCAGAAAAAGACTTTTGCCCGAACGGGAGCAGCATAGTTTTCCGCAAAAGCACTGACAATCTTACTTGAGATCGTCAGTGCTTTTGCGGAAATTCAAGCGGCCAGTGTAGACAGCTGGCAAGTTTTTCTGCAAAAGCAGATGA